AAAAACAAATAACTTAAGGACGAGCACACCTAAAAGTTAAACATTCTAAAAATAGAATTATTAACAGAAACCAACAACCACATGATCAAGTGTAAATTGCAGCGGAATAGCCGCGCTTGATTGTGTTGGCTTAACAAATGAAAAAGTGGGAAAAAAGCAACGATAATTTACAAGGCGAACTTAGCACAGTGCGTAGGCAACTGGCTGAGTCAGTGGGATCGTCGGTTCGAATCCTACTGAAAGAAGTCTGATGAAGAAATGTGGTGATTTCCGAAATAGCTATCACTTCTACCATTTTTTCAAATTATTGTTGCTTTTCCACAATAAGTTTTTCATTAAAAACGGCCTCAAGCTCAATAAAAATTGTTGAATATAATTGTTATAAGGCCATAAAATAACGAAAACAAATAACTTAAGGACTAGCACACCTAAAAGTTAAACATACTAAAAATAGAATTATTAACAAAAGCCAAAAAAAAACAACAACCACATGATCAAGTGTAAATTGCAGCGGAATAGCTGCGCTTCATTGTGTTGGCTTAACAAATGAAAAAGTGGGGAAAAAGCAACGATAATTTACAAGGCGAACTTAGCACAGTGCGTAGGCAACTGGCTGAGTCAGTGGGATCGTCGGTTCGAATCCTACTGAAAGAAGTCTGATGAAGAAATGTGGTGATTTCCGAAATAGCTATCAATTCTACCTTTTTTTCAAATTATTGTTGCTTTTCCACAATAAGTTTTTCATTAAAAACGGCCTCAAGCTCAATAAAAATTGTTGAATATAATTGTTATAAGGCCATAAAATATCAAAAACAATTTATAATGTTTCTTAAAATAAAATACTTGAACTCATAATAAAGAGGCATCATATTTGATATGAGTACGAAATTCTTATCTCAGGAATGAAATATTTAGATTCCATATACTTAAATCAAGTTAGTTTGTTCTTATTTTTAGGCCGACATTTTTCCCTCAGTGTATATTTATGCAGATTCTGGCAGAAAAATAAACACTTTTCAGTAGTAGTTTAACATGCACTTTTTAGAGTGTACCCACAATTCTGGTTGGAGCGTCGCATGGTGTCGTGATCACATATAAACTGCGGACGAAAATAGTTTGCGTGCTCCTTTTTCATTGTAGAACAAAAGCTTGTGAAATATGGTGAAAATTAGACAACTGCCACGCCCCCTAAGGAGGTGAGCGGACAATTTAAAGGTTTTCAGATATTTGTGAAATTCGTTTATATTATCTCAAAAAGCCATAATATGAAATTTGGTAAATATCGGCATCCTTATGATTCCCAAAATACCATAAATTAGTCGATAAGAAACGTTCTTTTATTTAGATTAATATACCATTACTACTAATTAATACTATTCACCACTGATCGTAAGATGTTATACTTTCTCATTAATAACTGTAGGTCGTGGTAGTATAAAGTAGAGTCACTCACGTTCTTTTATATTTTTTTTTGCAATCAAGTTCACGCACGCTCACTATTCCTAGATTTTTAATGACGCACGCTTTTTACGGACATTTTTTTCAAATTGAAACTTTATTTATATAAATATGTAGCACTTTATATAAATAGGCTTTTATCACACAAGCATTGTTACAAAAGCTTGACTATGTATGTATGTATGACAAACTATATACCAAAAATGTCGTTTGACCCCCCAAAATTTTAAAAGAAAAATCTGTGTATTATATTTTTTTCTGGAAGAAATTAATTTTTCATTTACATGTTTTGTGTTTTCTTGATGCAATATACTACTTTTTCTTTTGAAAATTGGGATGGTCAACGTCATTTTGGGTATATAGTTTGTTTAACACTTTCAAAACGACATAAGCTCATATTTTTGTTTAAAAATAATATTTTCTCCAAGTTTTCACCAAGCAGTCGTGTACGTCTTTCTTCTAGAAAAACACTTTCACTAGTTGCTGAGCTAGCGGGTATGTTTAAAATTTGCCTTGGAAGGCTTCTAAAAATATCTAAATATTTTTTTCCAAATGCTTATATTCAATACCCTCTATCTGCAATTTTCACAAAAACTACTTTGTGATGTTAGAGCCCATCTGGGACTTACCTTTCATCACTGATGTTAATTCTGACTTTGCAATTCAATAGTAACTTCTTCTGTCAAGCGTTATACAAGGTCAGCATTAATATCATCAATGACAGTTAAGTCTTAGTTGGATTTTTATATCATAATCTCATTTTTATGAAAAGTGCAGATAGAGGGTATTGAATATAAACAAAATAGTAAAGTTAAGTTAAACAGTAGTAGTTTAAGATTTTATTTTGGTTGTAAATACACATACATAATAATAATAATAATAGATTGGCGCTTACACATATGTTAGTGTTTGGCCGAGCTTCTCCTCCGATTTGTGGCGTGCGCCTTGATGTTGTACCACAAATGGGAGGGACCTACAGTTTTACGCCGACTCCGAACGGCGATTGTATTTTTATGAGAAGCTGCTTTTCATGGCAGAAATACACTCGAAGGTTTGCCATTGCCTGCCGAAGGGGGACCGCCGTTAAGAAAAAAGCCTTTTTTCTAAATTTTTTTTTTCGATGTTGCTTTGGACAGGGCTTGAACCCAGGCCCTGCGGAGTCTAAACGCGCACTGCTTACCACCACACCACAGCGGCCATACATACGAATGTGAAAATTACGTTATTGACGGAAAATCTAACTCACGCACGCTCATGCCAGCAAAAATTTCTGTCACGCACGATCACGGAAGTTATTTACGTGATTCTTCTGTCAAAACCGCTCTCGCTCACGCATGAATAAACGTGGCACATTGTGTCTTG